TGAGATTTTTTAGGTCATCAAGTCCGTTTTTATGAAAAGATATTTTGTGAAGGGTCCGTTAACGGACCCAAATTTCTTCTAAGCAGATCCCTGTTAAGATTTAAAAAAAATATTTCCAGTAGGTTTTCTTCCAGTCTTTTTTCAGTAGGAATATCGTTATTAGGCAGGTTATATATCCCTCAAAATAGGAAAAAAACGTTTATACTCTAGAAACTGGTGTTTTAGAACTATCTGGTTTAATACTATTCTCATGATATTGTAATTGCATTGCAACTTAAGCAATACAAAATATGAAATTAACTGAACGAGAAAGCTCCAACGTTTAACCGATGTCAATTTTGCCCTAACAAATTTTTGCTGATAGATCAAAAAACATAAAGAGATGTTCATTTTGCCTCAGCTTATGCTCTTCAAGAAGTTATAGTCCTGTATTTCCCTGACCTTTTAAATACTCTCTGGATCATTTGCCGAATTTCACTCTGCATTTTATACCTTATAACAATTAACGGTGTTTTTGAGACTTATTTGAGATGTTAGGGTGAACTTTAGATTTATTTGAAGTTGAGTTCAATAACTACTATAAGAAAACAACCTCCCAACGTTTATAATCAAGGTGTTGTTGATGCATATCTCCGTTGTTTATTAACGCTAAATCAGGTCTATGAAGTCTGTCACAGTAAGAAAGTCTGATGGTCCCTCTAAGAATCGAGTTTGTGAAAAGATCTTCTCTGGAAAGCCCCAGATAATCTAGTATATCACAGTTTGGGAAAACCCTTTTCATATTAGAATTAGACAGGTCTCAAATTCAAACTGATAAGCCTGATGGCTGTCCCGCCTACAAAACTTGAGTGATAAAGCACAACCAGGGCACCTTCCCTGGTATCATTGGTGAACAGGAATCAAGGTGTATAAAGCTAATTTAGTCACACTAGGTTGTTTTGAGGTTGAAAAAATCTATCTTGGAACAACCGGCTTAAAGTTGTTTTTGAGATTTGCATTTTTTTTTTCTTTTTGCAGTTCAATCAAATAACTATCTTTGAAATGCGAATATTCCCAGATTTCAACTAAAAATATTATTGAATTATATATAGGTTTGATTTTATGAGGTGTAAATGAGGTTGAAATTTAGGATTATGGAGGTCATTTTTGGTGCAACACATAACTTCATTTTCTACACCTCAAGTGTTTTTTTTTACACCTGTCAACCTCAAAACAGCCTCATAAACACTTTATTTTTTGTCGACGAATGAAAGAAAAGAAAAATTTTAAAAGAAAACACAACTTGTTAGAAATAAGAATTACATCTTAAGTATTATTTACAATAACGAAGCTCTTTCTTTTTTGCAGCTATGGGTGGCTACGCTCCATATCCATTTGATGGAGTGAAGCCGTTCAGAATCTTTCGCATTTCATACACGTCTCTAACTGGAAGCTCACCCAGTGAGAGAAGAGTTCCAACTCCATCAACCCCAACTACCAATTCAATGCTCAATGCCACTTCTTCAGGTCTCACTTACCTCACCCCGGACGCACAGGTATAGCATCCAGTTTGGTATTAATTTTTAGGTGAATATTATTTCCATCTTCGATACTTTGTAGACGTAGATTAAAGAAAGTGTGTATTGTAAATTAAGAAAAGAACATAGAATGTGTAATGGGTTAATATTTTCTTTCGGTTGAACACGTACTAAGGCTAAAGCTTTTTTCAGATTGTTAGTGCATGTTTATTTTTCAAAGGCATACATTAAAGTGATGTGCACCATTTTAAATTTTTTCCACTAATAAATTCAAAATATTAGTGTATTGGAAAAGAACTCTTAGCACTAATTGATTATGTAGGAATGTTTTTTGTAAATATTTAATCATCGCAAGTTCACTTCTGGCTTTCTTTGACATTAACCTATTTGTTTTTGATCAATATTATTGAAACATATGCATGGCAGAGACATTTTATACAAACTTACCCACATGCTTTAGATTTTAAATTTTTTTATTCATTAGGATTTTTTTGAAAAACTCGTTACGGAAAATTTGTTTCTATGTAAGGATGTATCTAAATAAAATTAATGAATTTTGCTGTGAGGAATAAAAGAGAAGCTCAAAATGTCAGAAACGACGAAGGTAATTTTATTTTTGTAAATATATTATAGAGAATTTAAATATAAGCTAAGTTAGTTCAAATAATTTGGTGTTAGGAAGCATAAAATAAAACATAGAAAAAAAATCCATTATTCATCCCCAAGCATTATTTAGCCACAATATGGTTTCAACTTTTTTGTTAAAGCTGCTGGAATTAATAAGTGCATCTTTTAAAATCAATTGAAATTCAAATGACTCTCATTTTTAATACATGCGCGGTACAAGATTAAAACAGTTTTTAATTTCCCTTAATATTTGTGAATTATGTTTCTTCTTGAAAATTCAAGCTACTTCTTCAATATCTAATAGTAATTTTCAACAGCAACTCCCTTGCTTGATGGTGGTACCAATCGTGAAATTTGTTTAGAGTAATTTTGTGAGTAGTTTGCCATTAGTGGATCCTTTCCTGTCCAAAAACATTTAAACCAGTCAAAGCAAAATTTTCAACTTATTGCGTACACTAACATTGCGCGCGTTTTGGACGCAACAAAACTTCATATTTTCCAGTTAAGTTTGAAATTTTCGTAAATCTGTTTCTTTTGTTCAGTATCTTCGTTAGCATTCACTTAAATGCATTTTTAATTATCATTGCTTTCGATATATCCACCCATTCACAAACTTTTGTACTATCAAGACTTTAATTTAAAAGATTTTTTTAATTTGTACGATTTTTATTCTCAAAAATTGCATTTTAAGTTTGATTAGCAGAGCATTACCCATATTTAAAACGTTTAAGCTCATATGCAGTAGAACAAAATTCTACACACTCGACTAAATATCAACCGGTCATAAGTTATTTAGTAAAACAAAGTAATAACTGTGGTAGTTTAACATACATTTCAACAATTTATTACTAGTTCGTTAAGTTTTAATTGCTTATGCGAGCACAGACACTGCCTCATTTCTCAGTTTGCCATTGCTCACTGCCTCAAATTTTATTATCTTTTCGTGTTTTCTATTAAAAAATATAGACATGCTATTTGTTTATGCTAAAATTATGTTATTCAATCTCACTTTCAATCGTTTGAATCTATTAAGGTTTCAATTTGATTGAATCAAACTAGATCCTTTGAGCCTATAAAGTTACATGATTTCATTCCGTATTTTGAGTAAATCTTGATTTTATCGTTTTAATAGTAAAAAACAGACCATCTAGATTAAAATTAAAAGCATGTCTCTTTATCATATTTACAGATTTTTAACAAATCAAACTGATTTTTGTATATATATTATTTTTCTTTCTATAGATAAATATTTTTTTATTTAATAGCAATAGCCGAAATAATAAAATAGCTCATAAATGTTTAATGCTTTTTCGGGAAAAAAATTTGAATCTTAGAGTTCTATTGGTTAAATCAAAATCTCGCTGCTGAAATTTTAACATTTTGAAAAAAACTCATTTTAACTAATTTAATGAAATAGGAAAAAAATAACTTGTATTATTTTTGAAAATTTCAACTTTTGTTCCTGATTACATATATAAAAGATAATAAATATATTATTTAAAATTGGATGAATATAATTGAATTAAAGTTGAATAAAGGAGCAGGCGCTGTAATCACCTATGCTGTTTCCAATTTAACCATTGCTACAAATCCTAAGAGATATTAAGAAAGGTGCTTAAAGCTAAGTCTGAGTCCAATCAAAGTACGAAGATAAAAGGACACAAGAACACCTCAATTTCATCAAACCAAAGTTTTGGATTTTTTTTAACGGCCGGCACTGAAATTATCGTTCTTTGCCATGAAAGATGCCACTGGTGTTGTTCATTTTGCGTTGTCTGGTGAGCACCTTGTGATCAAAGTCACGAAGGCGAGTAACATGACCCCACTGCCACAGATATTCGTTTATAGGTTGGGCCACAATCACACACAACAGAGGACAGCACACAGAGAAACATCCATGCCCTGAGCGGGATTCGAACCCGCAGCAATTGGCTTCGCAGGTCTGGCAAGCTAATCGTTTGGTCCCCTGGCCGGCTACTTAAGATTTTGAGACAAGTCGAACTCATTAATTAATATTTAAAAGCTGGTTCAAAATTGAGAAAAAAAATAGTTTATATCTTAACTAGTTTTGGGAAGTTAATGCTAAATTAATTTACAATATAGAGTACTAATATCATATAATTCAGAAGTGATCATTGTCAAAAGTGACTTACGTAGGGTAAAATTTGAAGTTAATGAAATTTGAGGAACTAGAACAATTACAAATTAATCTCGAAAGGGAAAAATGTTACATGTTTTCTTTTTTGTCGAATATAAAAGTTGGGTCGGCCTGTCTGTATGATGATCCGGGAGCTGACCTCAAGTCAGAAAGGTCTTTGGTTCAAACCCCGGATAAGACATGAGTTTTCTTTTCTTCTCATCCCTGTACTATCTGTCCTGCTTTCGGCAGGAGAAACGTTGGCTCACTTACTATGGGGTCCACGAGGAAGTGGTAACATGTCTGCTGTTCTGATATCCGAATGACAAAAGTCAATATCCGGGTGGAATCCGGCATTGGAAAATAAATATTATCGTTATTGCAATTGCTCAAAAGATTTGGTACAATTCCTCTTATTTTTCTAAACTAATCAATAATGTTGGCAATATCGTCATTACATGCACTTCATCCTGTTAGTTTTGTCTTTTCCGTGCTTGTATTAACAAAATTGGTTACTCAAATTATTTTAATTATCACTCAAATTTTTTTGAATTTTTGAAATATAAATTTTTTAATTGTAATTGCGCATGTAACTTTAATTATAATTATGATAATAATTTCAATTACTTTTATTGCTAATTCAATTTCAGAATAATTTCAATCAAATATTGAACAATACGTTCAATATTTGACTGAAAATTAAGAGCACTGTGCTATCGTATGTAACTGTGCTACCATCATTTTTAAAAATGAATAATTAAACCCTACTTTGCAACTTGCTAATTTCCCATTAAAAAAGCGAATGTTCCTGTGCACCCTGGTCTATTTTTTTTGTCGTATGCCTGTTTAGGCAGTGGGGGAGCGATTGTTCCTGTTTTTCAGTGGCGCCATCTAAGGCCAGGAATTTGACTCCTGCCACGCCATTCACACAACCACAACCCGTTTATAGGGCGGGTCACATTCACACACAAAGGAGAAAGGACACAGAACACGCAGAGAGAGAAAGAAACATCCATGTCTTGCCCGGGATTCGAACCCAGGACCTTTCTGATGCAAGGACAGTTCCCTGCCCCCTACACAGGCCGGGTGGCACCCTCGTCTATTGTGGAACCTTATTAATATATGAATATATGAAGCATAATTAGAAGTGACAATGTAGATTATTTATTGCAGGTTGACCATCACTCTGGGGAAAGTAATAGATTGAGAGCGGAAGCTGCTGCCAGACCAAGCAGGAGTGCTTCTTCATCTCCTTTGCCGCAACTGCCCTTTCATCGGCAGCCCTCCCCTACCAGGGGATTGAACAGAGATCATATCCATTCTGCTAGCTCAGATTCTGGACTGGGCAAAAGCCTCGGCTCAACGCCGCCCCCAAGTCCTTTTGTTGTGGCCGAGCAAGATCCTGCAGCATTTCAAGAAAAATGACGAAAAAACTTCAACAAAAAATAACTTCGTTCCGTGTTTGTCTAAATGTTTATTCATATTTATCATCGTTCTAAACATTTGTAGTAAAAATGGACAGAATATATGAACTTTATAAGAGAATTGATAATCGGGCACATTTTAACTAAATAAAAAAATCTTTCTATGTTACTGATTTATTATGAAGAAATTTTAAGAAAAATACTTTTTATTTTCATTTTGCTAATGACTTATTATAATGAATAGTAAGAATATCGTAACTTAAAGATTGTTTCACGATACCAAAGTGAATGAGATTTCTAATTAAATGCATTGAATCTATTATATATTGCAATTGTTACCCTAACAAACGAGTGCATTCAACTATAAATATTGTTTCGAGAAACATATTCATACAATTTCGAAAGAAATATCAAATAGAAGAATTGACTTAACTAATTTTATTCTTTACATGTCTGAACGCTTTGACCAATAAGAAGCAACTCGTAATCGGTCAACAAAGTTTGGGCAGAAGACAATGTTTAGAATTTTTAACATTACTTCTATATTCAATTGCAAAATAATAGTCGTTAATATGACCTATTTTCTGTATGAAGTTATCGGTCAGCAAAGTGTTAATACTACAACGCAAAATACAAAATTTGAGTTAATTTTATAGGAGTTTATAAAGTGGGCTATCTTATAATAAGAAGAACTTATCTTGGGGAGATATATATTTTTAAGGATTGTCAACTCAAAATAAAAAATCACAAAGTTAACAATTAAAAAGTTTTATTTGTTTTAAACTTAATCATCCAAGTTTACTCTTAAAATAAAACGTAAAAGCTTCTAGCATTTATAATTGTATGGTTAATATGTTTAAACTATATTGTCCTAACAGATGCTATTTTTCTTATATTACGGTAATATAATATCGGAGAAATATATCTCCATTAAAGTCTTTCTGTCCATTTTTGCTGCAAATTATCATAATGTAGCACTTGGCTGCAGCTGCTACAAAAATTTAAATTTTGATCATTATAATGAAATATTTTATTACACTATTTATTAAGCACAGCTGAGAATAGCTTTGAAATTTATAATAACAAACTTATAAAACTCATTTTTTGCTACTTTTATATTTTCTCTTTTTTACTTAAAAATAATTTTATATTTATGCAACAAATTCTAAATATTTTATGATCAAAAATGCTTCAGAATTTCATGCTATATGATATAAAATAATTTAAGAGTAGAAGCTACATGATTTTCTATGTTTGAATTACATTTTGGTTTTATCTAAATCAAACAAAAATGAAAGAAAATTAATTTAAAGGACCCCATAACGATAAGTAAAACTTTCAAATTGCTTAGGAGATAGTTGAATTAAAAATACAGTCATTTATTGAAATAGGATATTTTTGTATATTATGTTATAACTATTAAAATTCCCAAAAATCTAAAGTTTATGAACTGAAAACAATAATGAGGAACAGCTTCATACAAAAATGTCAATTTTTTGAAAAGAATCTGGGCTATTATCCCCCCCCCATCTTCAATTTAAATTTTTTTAAAAAATCACATTTTTTTCAGAAAATGTTAATTATAAAATTTATCATTATTCTAACAAACAAATACGAAATTAAATTTTTATTTGAAGCAGATACAATTTTTGTTATTTTGCCTTCTTACAAAATATAAATTGCGTTTTACCATTTCAATCAAATCAAATGAGTCATTGTAATAAATATGTTCTGTCATATTTCTTTTATCTTAAATTTCTTGGAGGTAGAAACTTTTGACGAAATCAAATTTTTATATTATTTCCTTCTTCTATTTTTCGAAAAATAAAAGCCATTTTATTCCTTTTTTTTAACAACTAAATTTATGTTATGTAAATCAAAGTAAATAAAGGGTTAACTTTGTAGCTACATGTGATTTAATACTAAGCAACGTGAAAAGAACATAAACAATGCCACATTTAGTACTATTGTGGCATTGTTGAAAGATTTCGGTTCTATGAGGAAGAACTAAAGATGGTTCTTAATTGTAGAACCCAAACTGTGTATGCTTACGCTGCATAATTTGTGCTATGCTTTTTTCACGTTTTTTAGCTTCATTCTTTTTTTAAGTTTTTCAGCTAATATTTATTTTAAAAAATTTTAACACTTAAGTAATTGATAAATGTGCTTAGAACATTTCTGCTAAAATTTCAGTAAACTTAACAAAAATTTTATTTTTATGTCCCAAAGCCATTTTTGTAACAGCTGCAGCTTTCAAAACTATGCACAAACTTTTCAACTTGCATAAAATACCTTTTTACACAAATTCGCTGTGGATTTCATCTGTTTGCTTTAATAATAATCCTCAGCATATGTTTATATACGAAGTATTCTTTATATGTCAATGTTATACTCGCCTTTAAATCTATAAAATCTAGTCAAATGTGTGTTTGTCCATAGAAATGAAGTTTAACTATTACGGAAAACTATCTTTATTCTTAATTAACACGAAATGAATATTAAAACAGAGGTTTGAAGGAAACATATGTGATATTGTAAAAAAATATATTGATCCGAATACTTGCTCATTAAAAAATCAAATTATGAATTGAAAAATATGCAGTTTAATCCATAAAAAATATTTTGAGACCTTCAAAAATTTTAAAAAACTAATAACTTTCTTTTTGATTAATAAATTTTTTGCATTATGTTTTTTAAACTATATTTTGTCTTTATGTTATTTTTAGGTTAGAGTTAGTGCACACGAATATAATTTCAGATGATAGAAAAGCAATTGCAATTATTTAAATAACACTTATTGACTCTTTCTAGTTTTTAGTTATGGTTTATTGTTTCAATTGGTTTTCTTACTGAATATTATGAAATCATTAATCGAAGCAAAATATAACTTTGAAAGTAAAAATTTTCAAAAGTAATAGAGCTGCTGCAAAACCTTATTTATTAACAAGGAACTTACTTGTTAATTTAATGTTTAGTTTATTTTTGAGCATAGTTAATTTAGTGTGCGGTTCAATATGAATTTAAATTTATTTCGTCTATTAACTTAATTATACTCGTAACTAAATTACTTCATTAAATAAAATTTATTCTTTATTAATTTTAGTTTAAATAATTTAAATAAAATTCAAATAACATCAAAACTTGTTTGCAAAACCAGTAATTGATTTATCTCGTCTCTATAGAAGCAATTGCATATTTTCTACATTTCTAAAAAACATTTGATAAATAATTACTACTTAGTTTAAAATTATTTCTTTCTAATAATTTCAACTTCATTCAAATCATTTCTTTCTAATAATTTCATCTTCATTCAAATTATTTATACTTTTAAAATATAACTGTTTCGTTTTTGAGAAAAAATTATCCCTACTAGTTATACCCAAACTAATTATAAAAAAAACTAATGTTATTTAAAATAAGGTAAAATAAAATCGACATTATTAAAATATTTTTTCATCATGTACATGAAATAAAAAGTACCTCTTGATTAGTGTTGCGTTCGGCAAGTATGATTGATGTCAAATAACAGTGTTATGTATTGTTGAATGTGAAATAAAAGCGATTTATATGAATGTCTATAAGAATTGTGTGGTACACATGTTTGTTGTATTTATATTTCGTATCCATCTTTTAAATCAATAATTGTGCCGACACGATTGAGTGAAAAAACTATATATATTTATGCATTTGTATTACACTGTTTTTGCTAAACATATCTCAAAGTATGTGTTAGAAAAAGTAAGATTGTTAAATTCACTAAAATTTAAATTTAAACATTGTTGTATGAAATGCATTAAGTAAAAAGTAATATTAAAGATAACAGAATCTTACGACTTACTTTTATATTACTTTTAACTCATTTGGTGTTTTTTTATTACAAAGTAATATCTATTTCAAAGTGTTATCAGAGTAGTAATAAACATAGCTGCTATAAATATAGAAACTAAAAATGTTTAAGTTTATTTTAATTTTCTTATGAAATTTTTCAATTTTGAATGCTTATTCATAAAAGTTAAAAATTTTAAAATATTTATATGAATGTTAATAAGTACAAAATAGCGTAGCAAATGTAATTTATAGATGAAAAAATGTAAAGCTTTATATATTTAGTTCATGTTATTAATAAAATAACATGGTAGATATACATTAAAAAAATCTATAACTCTAAGGAAGATTATAAATTTTAATATATCACTTGATTTTAAATGATTGGGACAATTATTTACATGGAAGAGTGAAATATTTTTTAAATGAAATCTTTGTTATCTTCGATTACTTATTGCAAAAAGTACTTGCTTATTGAGATGACAATGACCAAATGAGCTTGCTAATCAATTTTAAGAGATAAAAATGAAAAATTTATAATCTAGAAATTTTGTTATCAATCTACAAAATGTGGAATAGATATTTTGAGAGGAAAGACTTGCATTAAAGTTTAATTTCAATTACACTACTTTTCTTTTTAAGCGTTTCTACGAAAAAAGGAAACTTCAAAAATTCCAACGTTTAATGTTTTAAGAAATATTCATTCTTAAATTATAGTAGAAAATAAACTTCTAGATATAATGCTAGATGTTTAGATAGTTCATTCTACATTTTGAAATAAAAAAAAATATTTTTCTCTATTAAACCAATCTCTACAACAAAGCTGAAAGCGAATGCATAATTGACCAATTGCTTGGTTAACATTACGCATTTATAACTCCAGAATTATTCTACGTTTCCTTCGCCAATATATATTTTTGTGCCAAATATTTTGGATGCTTTTCATCCTTTTAGCTGTAGAAATATCTGCTCATGATTTGATTTATTTTTCTTATGCTGAATCAAAATGTTGCAGCTATTTTTGTTTTTTCCTTTAATTTTTTCTTATTTTTTCTTTTTCAAAACGAGCTATTTAAGGAGAGTTAAGATTTCTGACTAAAAATGGGACATTTTACTTTCATTTTCTGATTAACTGATTAGAATTGTTTAAAAATGGAAATTTTACCTGTTGGGAACAGCACTTTTTGGAAACAACAATTTAACACAACCGTACTAAAAAAGATTCTTTCTAATATAATTAAAACAAAAAACAATTGAAGGAATCCTATTTGAAGACATGTCTGTTTCAATGTTATAAACAGGGGAATAATCGTTAATTCCTATCTACAATTCATAGTTTTGTTCTAACGATTATTAATTATAATATAAAAAACTGCATATCTCGTAAATTTAATTTTTGATAGCATTCATATCTTTCTTGTTTACTAAAATAATTTCCTTGACTAAACATTTAGAAAAACATGAGGTATTAAAATCAAACTATTCGTATCAAATTTTTAAATTATTGATTAAAATAGAAAAAAAACACTCTTAATTAAAGACATGATGTCGACCTTTCTTTATCTAACGGTATTTTAAAACTTCAAACAGTTAATAACTTTTTTCAATCAGTAGGTAGGTATATAATAATCAAATACATCAATACGATTCTCAATTATAATTGAAAATCAAGAGGGGAGAACGGTCTCACTATTTTATTTATTTTGAGGATTACTAAGTTTTCACAAACCAATAACGTGGAAAATCTGTTCTCTCGGAGAGTTATTAAACAGTGAAAATGGGTAGAGTTGCACAAAAATGGTTGCTGTTCAACAGTAGAAAACAAGGAGCAAGAAAAGTGCAGTAAAGACGATGGCGAGAACATCAAATTTATGATGTGAATTTTTTTAAATTTCTTGAAACATTTAGAAGATGTAAAAGAATGCCTGAGACAACCGTACATGTTTTTATCTTTACGATTTCAATTGAATATTTGCCACTGAAAATTCTAAAACTTGAAATTCGTTTTTGTTTCAAGAATCAGCTTTCATTTACATAAAACATTCTTTCCCATTTATCCTGAATTGAAGCAAAATTTTTATACACTTCAGTGAAAAAGTTACAATATTTCTCAGCCATAACTAATTTTATGATATATAATGAAAAAATTGAGTATTTTAAGTTGTTTTTGAGCATAAAAGTATGCCTAGAATAATTTTGTTCTACATATTTCAATGCTACCAATTTACTACAGCGATAATTTATTTCCCTTTCCCTGTTTACTAGTTAATTTTAAATATAATTCGAAAAGTTATTGCAGAAGTTCTTTTAATATCTTATCCAATTTGATTCAGCATAAAGACGGCGTTTAAAATAATTCCGTAATCTACTTATGAAATTTGAAATAATTTCTGTAAGCTTCTTTAGTGATTTTTCTCAAAGTATTGTACATATCAATACGAGTGTATTCAATTTTAATTCAACTTCTTTTTAATTCCCAATTAGACATAGTAACTCAAGTTTTTGAACGCCTACTGTTTTGCGCTGTTATTTTGTATACATTTCTAATGACGAAATGTGTGTGGACAATACATCAATACACTCTGCATATTGTGATGTTATGTTTGTCTATGCTGTTTCAAAATAATGTTCTTCAGAACTTTTCTTGTACATATTATAAATATACAATGACTATTATTGTATACATGAAGTTTATTGAATGTCTGTAATATTTTCATATTAAAAGTGTTTTCATCTGTAATTGTATTTATTTGCCTTCTGCGCATTCTGATATATTACTAATTTTTTTAAATAAAAAATTTAAGTCGAAACAAATGAAATCTTATAACAATGATTAATTTAAAAATAGGTGTATTTCTGATTTTTTTTCTAGTACGGGATTTTAAATTCCTTTTCAAATCAAATTTTTGATCTAATTCGCATCATAAAAGTGGATAAGAGTTCAATGGCATAAGAACGGAATAGATAATCCTGTGCTAAATATGAA